TAGCTTCAAAGGTTTACGTTTCATTTGAAATAATACAAAAAAGGTCTGGTTTATCAAAAAGAAATATAACATCATGCAAAATGTGGAATTCGTTTGTATAGTTTCTCAAGTTTCTTCTTTTCGTTGAATGATGATTAATCTACTTTTATAAGCATTTTCATCTATAAATAATGATAAATCAACTTCTCATTCGCAGTGCTGGCCCTGACTATCGGTATGACAATGTACGTGGTTCTACTGACTTCTACTATGGATTTCTGGTACTATTTCTTGGGTTGGGACAGCGTGGTCTTCACCCTTATTAACACTTTCCTCTGGTTTGTGACGGAGTACTATCATCGTCATGCAGAGAGATACTTAAGCTACAGAGAAATGAAGGACGATGTTTCCTATCTGTCCAGTAGCGAGGAGGATGACGGTTAAATTTATCGCGGAGTACCATTTTAAAACCCTTTATATAATATACACAATAAAGAAAAGAAACTAAATACGTCTCCTTGTCTAATACTTGGGACTCAGTATCAGTAGGAGGGGGATGCTGGTTGTCCTTCCACTTCTTCTTGGTCAGTTTTAAGGTGAAATACGAGATAATGGAGATAACGAACAGTTTTCAAGCTCAAATAAAATTCTATTATGAACAATACAAAAATGTGCCGTCTTTTTCTAATAATGAAATAAATGGAAATAACGCACAGTTTTCAAGCTCAAAAGATCCAAATATGAAACAGATGTGTCAGACTCTCTGGCATCTTCTATTTCAAGCTCAACGGGATATTATCATGCCAACATATGAATGTAGACAACTATTGCTAGTTGACAATACGTTGTCGATATATCTAAATGTGGATTTGAAAAAGCCACATCAAGAGTTTTCTTTCTTTTCACGTATACATCGTCAACTTCACTTACTTATGCAGCATTATACCTTCATCACCTGCATACGGGGTTTATATCTCTGAGTTGATTCGATATGTGAAACATATGGTGATAACGAACAGTTTTCAAGATCAAAAGTCCATAAAACAATATAAAGTAGGAGCAGAGCAAACTCGGACCTCCAAAACATCAGAGGTGGGATCGGGTGCTATGGAGGAGTAAGCATCCCCTGCTGACCGGTAACACCAGCTGTGTTCTCCTTGTCAGTATCGGGAAGTGACGGAAAAATCAATTCAGTGTATAAATAATGGACTAACAATTCGTATGAAAAACGTCATTCAGCATTTGACCTTTGTCAAGTACAATATCCAAATATGAACATATGTGTCAGCCTGTGTGATACCTTTTATCTCAAGCTCGATATAAGAATGAAAATTACCATTGATAATTGACAATACGTTGTCGATATATTTAAATGTCGAGTTGAAGTCCACAGCAATTCATGTATAATGAATACAAAATAGGTCTGCTAATTACGGGGTGCAATTGGTACCCATGGGGATTATAATATTGTCAATCAGAAACTCAAGTATCTTTTTAATATCAACTTGTGTGTACAATCAGAATGTTATTTTTCACAAAGTAATTTTGCAAATGACCAATGACAAGGTGAGTAAATTTACGAGTTCCATTTTTATTGAAAAAGCAGATGTCAATGATGAGAAAGCCTGGACTTTAATTTATCATGGGAAATAGTTGTATTAAAAGTTAAAAAATCATAACATTTTATGTTTTAATGTTTATTTTTCTTATAAATTAGTAATGTTACACATCACATTCATGTTCTAAAATGCCCTGAACTTGTTTCATCTTACAAAAGGGTCGACAGTTGATGCTAACTCCTCTATGGCACCAAATCCCAGCTCTGATGTTTAAGAAGTCTTGTTTGTTCTGTTTCCAATTTGTATAGATCCTATGGACTATTTAGCCTGATTGTTGTTCGTCATCTTCATAAAACTTGCAAATATCAAATGTATTTTTCGAGATAACAGTGGACATGTCGGCAATATTAGTTTCCGCACGGAGCGGAAAAAGTAGTTTTCATTTACAAGCGTCTTTCCGGATAATTGTATTTTGCTGTTCTTTTCGACTCATTTTCATCCTGCAGGTTACAGTTTATATTAACCGATTTCCAAAATGGCGTCGCTGATGGATTCCAGGAAGAAGATTGGTCTGGTGGGGTCATTCGTCACCATGAGCTTCGGCCTGACAGGAACAATAGGGATGGCAGTGGACAATGATATTTCAGTTATAGGGTCATTTACAAACGAGTGTAAGTATTTTACAGTATACAATGAAATATATCTGTTAAAACTTTTCAAATATTTACTGCATACTGTAGTGTATACTAAAATGATGTATCAATTGAGATTTTTTCTTTAAAAAAAATAGTTGATACTAAGCATTTGGAATTTTACCTGTTAACATGTTGACATATTTAACTAGCTGTCAACAAATGATTTCACTGTTAAACTGTAAACATATTTTTGAAATCTGATATTCGAATTTGGATATAAAATATTCAACTTTCTTAATAAGATATTCAAATGTAAACATGTGTTTTTAGTATAAAACTTTCACAAATTAATTTAACATATTCAAATCTTACATGTCTTAATCATGTAAATTCAAGAGTACCTCACAGATAGGAAAAGTAATGTCGAATTCAATAAACATATCTTTTTTACTAGCCTGTGCTCTTCAGTCATCCTTTGGGTTGATAGCCTGTGGTGCTATTGCACAAACGTTTTTATTCTTCATTCTGGCAATGAAGAAATGCTGCGGGCAAAAGAAGGCAGATTGGTTCCATATTTCTGTTGTGGGAAATTTCATTGGAAGTAAGTTAATCATTCAATAATATACAAAAATGTCATCCATTTAATTTCCAAGCGAATATTTGGTCTAAATTTGTCTTTAATTCAACATATTTAAATTTTCCTTGCTTACCTGTTCAGCCTTGGGATTTTTGATGGGAACAGTGGTGTATGGCGCGCTAGTGACGTCACGGATTTATTGGTACTTCTGGTTCTGCGTGTTTGCTTGCATCACTTCCGCTGGCCTACTGATGTTTTGGATTGCGACACAGATGTTCAGACGTTACTTAAAAGTCGCTTATCCAGACGATATCATGGTTAATGAATAGAATATATGTTTTTAACTTTAATTTAATTGTGCTCATATACTTTTTGTCAGAAAACAGTTGTTATAGCTAATTTAATTATATTAGACAGAATTGTAGAACCTCGAATGATATGTATACTGATTAAATTTGTTGGGAAATACATTGGATATTTACACATTTGGAATCTGACCTTTTTGCTCAAGAGTAGCTTACCTGAGCTGAGAAAAATTTTCATTGTTAGTGAGATCACTTTTTTTATCAAACCTGAGACAGGGACTAAGCGTCTCAAAATTGGCAAAATATGCCCTCTCATGACTACAGTGGGCCTTAAAATACATTAGCATGAAATTAATGTTAACCTTTAAAAAATTGTGTTTTGCTAAACGGTTTTACAATGAATTGTAAATTAAGAATATGTAAGGTCTCCTTAAAGTTATTATACTAATATGACATACATGTATATGGAGATAATGAACAGTTTTCAAGCTCAAATGTCCATTTAACAATACAACGAAGCAGAGCAAATACAGGCCTCCTAAAATATATGCATTAACAAAATAAAAATAAATTTGTTTACAGATTTCAATATTAAATGCTTGTGAATTTATTTGAATCGGAGGAATCATTCACTTGCTATGATGGAGTCACTAACACCACCTCATGTGGAACGATCTGTGCAACACAACGTGTTGCTATTCAGACTTCAAAGCGGAAACAACATGATTGATTCTGTCTGCAGGGATTGGTTCGGTTCAGGTGCTCTCTATATAGTGTGTATAAATTAACCTCGATTTAATTTCTTTTAAAAAATCTTGTATTCCAGGTATTGACAAGTACATTTGTATATCATTTTGGGAAACACATCCAATGGTTCATTAACTTTTTCAGTTAAAAATTCATGTATGTAAAGCTTAAAAGGCAGTACTTGTACTAAAGAAAATTCTCCTTTAAAACAGGAAAAATGATCTACAATAATTTTATATTATAAGTTTAAATGATAAGCCTTGAATTATAAGTCTTGACTGAACGAAAATTTTAAGACAATTTGTTTGGAAGAAGATAAAGGAATCTTCATTAAACGGGAAAACATTAAAATTTTACAGTTCTACTTTAAAATAAACAGTTTGACTAAAAATCGGTTAATAACAAGTGACACACTTATATATGGCACGCCAAATTCACAAAAATGAGATAAACCTAGTTTCACAATTGATAAACTAGGTTTATCGGTTGTAAACTATAGTTTACGGACTGTAAACTATAGTTAACAACGTTAATCTATATTTTACATCTGTAAACCATAGTTAACGCGATAATCTATGTTTCACAACCGTAAACTATACTTAACAGCGAAAACAATCATTTGCGATTGCAAAACATGGATTATCTGATAAATACAGTTTCACGATTTGTAAACTATAGTTTACAAACCGTTAACTATAGTTAACGATCTGATAAATATAATTTCACGATTTGTGAAACTTTGATTAACAACTCTTAATTATAGTTTACGATTGTAAACTATAGTTTACAGACGTGAATCTATGTTTATCAACAAAATCTATTGTTAACGCTTATTACAGACAGATAAACTTAGATTAGCATTCGTAAACTATAGTTAACAACCGTTAAATATAGTTTTACAGATGAAAACTATAGTCAACGAATTGTTAACTATAGTTTACAGTCGATAAACCTAATTTATCAATTGTGAAACTAGGTTTATCTCATTTTTGTGAATTTGGCGTGCCATACACTTACACGTGGTCCTTATTCCAAATTATACTTTCATCGCTTATATAAGTCAATGCCGACTAAGGTTTTTCATGCTTTTTATAAGGCCGTTATTTACAAAATGGATTTTCTACGAATTTTTCTGTTCTTCCCCATCATGACAATGAGCACACGGCGAATCTGACAGGTCGGCAGGGAATGGTCACTTCTTCGTGGCATCCGATCCCGCCTCTGATTTTATAAGTCCGCGTTTAATTTGCTCCTGATTTTTACTGTTTCAATGGAAATTTGACCTCGTCTACTGTTCGTATTTCTTCATTCAATGGAAAACTGTAAATGTCGAATTGAAGTTCAAATTGGAACAAAGCAAACACGGACCTCCCAAACATCAGAGGTGGGATCAGGTACCATGAAGAAGTGAGCATCCTCTGCCGAACGGTCATACTTGCAGTTTGCTCCTTCTTGTCATGATCAGGTGATAAGAAAACAACAGAAAAAATCGTCGATAATTCAGTCTGTAAATAATGGCCCAACAATTAGTATGAAAAACGTCAGTTTGCAACTGAATGATGAATTGTATTTGCTGAACTTACAAAATGATGACTACGAAACTGATGATATTCAATCTGTCTGTCAATATCTTACCTAGCTCGTTTTAGAAATTTAGAAATCGAGACACCGAAAGAGGGGTATCACAGTTCACAGAATTTGCTTGTAGCTTGTAATTCTTGTAGGCCAAAATTGATTTAAAATTGCAGGTTAAATCATATTTGACCACCTCGTCTAAAAATAGGCTCATTCGTTTGTGTTTATACAGTTCTGCTTTTTTCTTCTTTCATTTGCAATCAATAAACGTTTTCAATATCTAGAAATTTCTGCAAAATATATTCTAAGCATTCTGTGTCATACAATTTAATACATTTTTTTTTCTAATACTGCTCACCGGACAGTGGTAGGGCGTTCACTTCGTGATCGAAATGCCTGGGTTCGATCCATGTTCGCGGCGCCGCGTCATCCCCAAGACGTTAACACAGGTAGTGACTGTTCCTTCGCCAAGCGCTCGGCACTGGAAGTTAAAGCTGACATGAATTCTTAAAAACGCAACTTTTTCATCTATGTACGACTTGTTTCATACCAACTATAGCCGTATTCCGCCATATTTCTTCCAGATACCTTGTCTTATTGTAACGATATATACCCGAATGCCCTCGTTACACTTGAATGATTTTTTGGCTTGGCTATCGACTTGTGCACATCTCCGATGGTAAAACATTTGAAAACACATGGGTTGATCAAGACATTTCAAAACCACACAACATAATAATCATATTTCTGAATAATTATAGATTTGAATCAAATGTAATTAAAAAAAAGAAAGAAAATGCAAGTTTGAAAGAAAGATTTAGTTGCACGAGTACGCATTTTTACAATGCGCCAATTTATGCAGAATAAACATGAATAAAAAGCACTAAAACCCGTAAGCACACTTTGAAATTATTATCATTTGAATGGAACAAAATAATCAGCGTCTTTGATTTCAGGTTTTATGCAGACTTTGATGCATGTCGAGAAAACGCGTCGAACGCTGTAAACGTACCCATACCTGGTAATAAAGTCACTGCATCGGTTCGAAGATGTGCACAAGTCAAGTGAAATACACCCTGAATTCCATTTATTGAAATATGCATCACAAAAAAGAATTAAACTCCATAAAAACTCAATAAACACACTGTATCTACTCCGTACAGTCTAGCGCGTCGATACACTTAGTCCGTGCTGATCAGATTTTGGTCAGGGAAAATATCACAAGTGGAAAAAGAGTGGAATTTGCGCGGCTGAAATGGGGGGGGGGGGGTTCTAAAGTATAATTATAACGGCTTCATAAGGTATAACTGAAAATTGTCTATCTAGTTCTAATAAACATTCTTTATATAGTCTGCAGTTGTTTTGCATCGCAAAATTCATTTGTCAATTACAACTGATTATTTTAGTACTAATCTCAAATCTAAACCAAGTAATTTGATATACGGTAAATATTTAGTTCAAGACTTAAAAACATTAACCAGAATACAAAAGTTTATGTGTGCATCTGTACATTCTTTAACACACACGCGGAAAAAACATCCCCCTTTTAGACTGATATTGAGGCATTTGTATTTTAAGGGCGGGGGGCAGAAATAATTGACATGGCCGTTACCTAAATATTCTTGGAAGACAGACATTTCTGCCAATTCCATTTTTGAAGATTTTTTATTGTCTCACTCCGACCACAAAGTATGAACATTTTTGCGGAATGTGGCTGTTTTATAATTATTACAGGAAGTCTTTCGAGATTTCAGTATCCCTGTCTGACAGTCTAGTTTTTTTAAAAATAAAAATAATTTCTGTTGCAATATTTGGGAGATACTTTTAAAAACCTTGGTAAGGAAACTTGAAACCTGGTGGAATACAGATAATATTTGATTACTCTTTTATTCATCGAACTCTCTCGCTCTCTCTCCTCCTGTAACCATCTGTAAGCGCAATAATAGATATAAAATCATATGTATTTTGTGCTGTACCATTTATTAGACCTTGGGACAGATCAAAGATTTTTTTTTGTCAGGCGGGGATGTCGAAACTTGTTCAAAAATTGAAATAATAATTTTACTTTTGACAAGAAAATAAACCTAACGCCGAAATTGAAAGGAAAAAAGTCTACATCATAGGAATGGGAACATTGGGAACTTTCTCAAATACATGTACCTTCTCAGGTAAGGAATCTGAATAAAAATTATTTAGACAAGAGGTATAAAAAAGCTAATTTTTGGTAGAATGTGGAACTCTCATCGGTAGTTTGCTTTCCCTTCCTATATGCTTCGACTATTAATAATTTATATCCAACCCAGATATTTCCTGACATGCAAAAAAAACCCCGTAAACTCGCCCGAACTTCAAAACCTATTTCGGGGGGGGGGGGGGGGGGGGGGTAGCCGATGACTTCTAATGCTTCAAACCTTAGCCTTTTCATACCAATTTAACACAAATTCGCGTTTACCAGGGAGTCTGCGTTTTCCGAGGGGGTTCCTACGTAACTTTTTTTCTTGCTTTAGTAAATAAATTTAATAACCTTGCAAATCCCAGGGGAGGGGGGGGGGGGCATGGCACTCATGCATAGAATCACAACACAGCCACTTCAATTTATATTGATGGGGGACCTCCAAAATCAGTTGACAAGCAAAAAACAAACAAACAAAAAACAACAAAACAAAACAAACACACACACAAAAAAAAAAAAAAACCTAAGCC